TGTGCGTCCATATTTAAGTTATCCCCTTACTTAAGGTTTATTAATTTCACATAGGAGGTTACCTTTAGGTAACGATTCAAAAGCCAGAAATATTGGCCATTTGTCCTGGCTAAAATCTGGTAACAAAAGATTTTTAAGAAATTTTTATTTTGAGAACTCCATAGTCAGAAATCAACTTAATTAAAGATGATATTTGGGCTGTATGTATACAGATATTGTTTTAAAAGCTCCTGCTGGCCAGGCACAGTGGCTCATGTTTATAATCCTAGCACTTTGAGAGGCCGAAGTGGACAGACTGCTTGAGCCCAGGAGTTTGAGACCAGCCTGGGCAACTTGGCGAAACCCCATCTGTATTAAAAAAAAAAAAAAATTAGCTGGGCATAGTGGCAGGCACCTGTGGTCCTAGCTATTCAGGAGGCTGAAGTGGGAGGATCACTTGAGCTCAGGAGGTTGAGGCTGCCGTGAGTTGTGATCGCACCACTGCATTCCAACCTGGCAACAGAGCGAGACTCCGTCTAAACAAACAAAAAGCCCCTGCTCTCCCTCTAAGAACTTCTCAGTCAATGGAATTTTGTCTTGATTCTCCATTTCTGTCTGTGTATTTATATGTGTTGTGTGTATAGTATTTATATAAAAGAGCTCTAATTAATTGGCTTAAAAAAACTAAAATCAAGCATATTATCAGAAAAAATTGAAACCCCTTTTAGGTCACATGACTCTAATGATTTTTAAAAATAAAGACAGCGTAAATAAAATAAAAAACAAAGACAGCGTAAATAAAGAATGTGTTTTGGTGGGAGGTTATTAAGAAGTCATGTGAATATGGTTTCTGTTAAACAGAATGTAATTTTGTCTAGCTCAGAGGGTTTTAACTATTGGCCTCACCTAAAAGAGTAATGGGACAGCTGGGCATGGTGACTCACGCCTGTAATCCCAGAACTTTGGGAGGCTGAGGTGGACAGATCACTTGAGGTCAGGAGTTTGAGACCAGCCTGGCCAACATGGCAAAACCCCATCTCTACTAAAAATACAAAAATTAGTCACGTGTGGTGTTGAGTGCCTGTAATCCCAGCTACTTGGGAGGCTGAGGCAGGAGAATCACTTGAACTTGGGAGGCGGAGGTTGCAGTGAGCTGAGATTGTGGCACTGCATGCCAGCCTAGGTGACGGAGTGAGACTCTGTCTAAAAAAAAAAAAAAACGAGGTCTAAAAAAAAAAAAAACGAGTAACGGGACAAAACTGATGGTTCAAGCAAGTTGAAAAGGGTTTGTGAAGGGTTAATCTTGTGAAAAGTTCTGTAGGTACAAGCAAGTTGGCTAAGACTTAAAGGGGATTACTTAGCTTTTCCGTAGGTCGAACACTGAAATAAAAGCACACTGATGTAGGGCCAGAATCGGGGCCCATGTGTCTGAAAAATGGTTTTCTAGAGAATTTATTTGTTTAACAGAAAATTGTAAAGAATTATGAGAGGTGTGTGGACATTTCACCTTATGGTCAAACTAACTATGATTGTATAGATTTGTATATAAGGTTTTATTATGAATTGGATATAACATTAATAATATACTAATGCAAAGGTGAAATTTTGCTTTCTCTCTTAAACAAGATTTTTGCATAATATTTTAAAATAATGAGAGATTTTTGTTTACCTTTCAATAAACAACAGAAAAAGGAGGGGAGAGGAGACAGATTCGGTTGGTGTCACGCTGTCTTTATTGCGACCTGCTTGGAAAGTTGACTCTCCCCTCTATCAGCAAGTAAAGATTTTTTCCTTTTAGAAATTTTGGAGTTATCATTTTGGCTACATAAATGACTTGTAGTGACTCTATACTAATCTTCTCTGAGCAACTCTCCTCCAAATCCTGTTGGGTAATGAGAACAAGTGGCACCCCCCCGCCCAAAAAATCCATACCCCTTTATATTATTTAAGGGACCAATTACCAATCTCCCGCCAGTCCCTGGTAATATCCAAATGCCCCACACCCCTTTGGGGCAAAAATATCCTTTCCAAGATGGGTGCCTGCTTAATGTTTACCCAACTTGTGAATTCATCTTTCCCTCTAATATCCCCGTTTCTCCCAGGAAAGCTACCTAAATCTTTAACCAATAGCTTCAACCTGGATAGTCCTATCTCGGGGGTTTAAAAATAGCCCACACTTATACAGACACACCCTAGCAAGAAATTCAACCTAGAAATCTCTTGAGGGGGGATAACCTCCTCATATGTGGCCCCTTCACAGAACTCTCACAGCAACACACAGTATAAACCTTAACTTCCTAACAAAGGAAAATATTTTTTTGTCTAATTCAAAGGTTACATATAGGCCAGATGTGGTAACTCACGCCCGTAATCCCAGCACTCTGGAAGGCCAAGGCATGCAGATCACCTGTGGTCAGGAGTTCAAGATCAGCCTGGCCAACATGGCAAAGCCCTGTCTCTACTAAAAAAATACAAAAATTAGCTGGGTGTGGTGGCACACACCTGTAGTCCCAGCTACTTGGGAGGCTGAGGCAGGAGAATTGCTTGAACCCACAAGGTGGAGCTTGTAGTGAGCCGAGATTGTGCCACTGCACTCCAGCCTGGATGATAGAGTGAGACTCCATCTCAAAAAAAAAAAAAAACCAGGTTACTTATAAAACAAGGTAAAAGGAATGAGGAAATAAGAGAGACATAAAGACGGTTATAAAGGTGAAGGCCAGGTGCGGTGGCTCATGCCTGTAATCTTAGCACTTTGGGAGGCCAAGGTGGTGGATCACTTGAGGTCAGGAGTTCAAGACAAGCCTGGTCAACAGGGTGAAACCCCATCTCTACTAAAAATACAAACATTAGCCAGGCATAGTGGCTTGTGCCTGTAGTCCCAGCTACCTGGGAGGCTGAGGCACAAGAATCACTTGAACTCAGGAAGCAGAGGTTACAGTGAGCCGAGATCGCACCACTGCACTCCAGCCTGGGTGATAGAGTGAGACTCTGTCTCAAAAAAATAAAAATAAAAATAATAAAACAAAAAAGAAGAAGAAAGTTATAAAGGTGAAGAGGCATTTTTGATAAGGAGAGTTATAAAGAAAGAAATTTTATATAAGAACGGATCTTGTGTGATAAATTCTTGTCATAAAGTAAAATGACTGATTGTTAAGAAAGAGGGAAGTTTAGGACAAGTCAGAAAGTCCAAGCCCATCATAGATAGTCATGACCAGTGTAAGTCATGAGAAAATTCATGAAAGAAATGTATAAAAGGAATGTTGTATGTAATTAAGGTATAATAGTCTGTCTAAAATTGGTTCCCTATGCTGTTTAAATTCAAACACTTTTTCATCAAGTAACTTCCAGGTTATCTAAATGGGCTTTCAATAAGGAAAAATAGTCAGACTGCAAAAGGTTTTTCTTCACCTTTTCAGTAACTGGCTTAAGAAATAAAATTGTATCTTCTAAAATTCAGCAGTTTCACCTTCAAATGATGCTGTGAATGGGGTATCAGTCTCTCCCCAATGATGCCTGCTACCTTTACCAGTCTCCCCTGAATTCAGTTGGACACCAGTTTTGCCTTGACATGCTCCCCCTCTCTGATGAGACCCTTCCTCCAGCAAAATCCAATATCCTAGGTCCCACAATCCAGGATGGGTCTCTTGACAGATCAACAATCGTAGGTAGGGAGAACTCTATGCCCCTGGTCAGCAGGAAGTAGTTGGAAGATAAGACCTCTGCCCAATGCCAAAGATTTGTCATTGTTGTTCTGCCAAGGGTGGAATGTAGAGTCCTGATAAGCAAGCAACAATGAGGAAGGGGCCCCAAGTTGGGGAGGGTCCCAGGTGGGGAAGAACAATGAACAATTGTTCTGAGAGTAGCTAATCAAACTACTCAAGGGCACAATGACCTCTGTGGGCACAGTGACCTGGTTCCACAGGTAGCCCGCTCCAGCACGACCCTATAAAACTTCTCTCTAGTCCCTGCCTCTTTGCAGACAGCCCTTTCCCTGCTGTGCTGCCCAGCAACCTTGCAAGGTATTTTTTTACTTATGGCTGTCTTGGTAAATACCCTTACCACCCATGACACCAGCCCTGGCTAGTCACTACCCAGGAAAATATGGAGGTCCCTCAAAAAACTACAAATAAACTACTATATGATCTAGCAATCCCACCACTGGACCTTTATCCAAAGGAAAGGAAATCATTATATTGAAGAGACATCTGCACTCCTGTTTATTGCAGCACTTATTACAATAGCCAAAACATAGAATCAATCTAGGTGTTCAACAATAGATAAATGGGTAAAGAAAATGTGATATATGTACACAATGAAATATTATTTGAGCATTAAAAAGAATGAAATCTATGATTCACAGTAACATAGATGGAAATGGAAGACATTCTGTAAAGTGAGATAAGCCGGGAACGGAAACTTAAACACTGAATGTACTCGCTCAGATGTGGAAGCTAAAAACGTTGATCTCACAGAAGTAAAAAGTAGAACAGAGGATACTAGAGGGGAAGGGACATAGGGAGAGATTTGTCAACAGAAACAAAATTACAGCTAGATAGGAAGAATAAATTCTAGTGTCCTATACCACTTTAAGATGGCTATGGTTAACAACAATGCATAGTTTCCAAGAGGTAGGAGGAGGATACTGAGTGTTCCTAACACAAATAAATGAAAAAAAGTTTGACATGATGGATATGCTAATTAGTCTGATCCGATCACTATACACTGTATGTATCAAAACACCCCTGTGTACCCCATAAATATGTGTAATTATTATGTGTCAATTTTTAAAGTTACTAAACAGTGTAGGGAAATTGTTCTCCTTGGCAGTTACTACAGAAAAAACCATCTTCGGAAAAGAGATATGCCACAATGAGACTACCATACAAGATGCCAAAGTTACCCCCCAAATGACAATATCATGAGACAAAATAAGGGAGAGCTGCTGTCCCTCAGTGTTTGTCCCTAGTAAGGACAACTAACCACTGATCAAACAGACAACTGCACAGCCTTCTTTCACTCACAGAGTGTTGTCCACCTGCAGTGCCGAGTCCTCTCCATCCATCTGCATACTGCTGTGCACTTCTGGGCTCTCAGATGTTTTTAGGTCTCCAAGTCTATATAACCACTCTAAGCCATGCCTCTTAATATGTGCCCTCATTTTCCATTGTTAAGCCATTGAACACAGACTGGTAGGTCACATGGCTTCTGTAACACAGTCTAGGTGACATCGGTTAACTCTCTACACGAATGGGACCCTGGAGGTCCTTATTCCTGCTCCCTGCTTCAGAGTGGGTTATACCTAAACCATCCTGCATGAGCCTTTCCCAAGGTCAGGGCTGTGCTGAGGGTGTAACAAGTATGGACAGTAGTCTAGCTCTCTTGGGAGATTTAAGTCTCGGGCTTCTAAAGGTTAAATATTGGCATGTCTATAATGGGGAGAAGAAAAACAGTGGTATAACTATGTAAAATAATGGATATATTAATCTGCTTCACCATAGTAAACTTTTTACTATCTACACGTATCCTACAACATCATGTTGTTTACCTTAAATATACACAATGAAATTTGTTTAAAAATAAAATTTAAAACTGTCTTCTAAAAAGAAAAATAGTGAAGAAAGAGCTCTGCTGTGAGCTCAAGAACAGCCAGTCACAGCTCTACCTAAACCCATGGGTGACTTAAAGCTGAAGCCTTGTCATCATCACTGTCACATACTCTTATTATGAGGAAACTTTGCTCCTCTTTTTGCTGAGGAGATTCACCTAAGTTACTCTACATGACAGTAACTGAAACAGCACCCACTAGACTACTTTATGACATCCCCCTCCAGTGATCAAGAGTTCTACAATCACGGCTTCACAATCCTGAGAGACTACCAATTCAACCAGCCTTCAGGACTGGCACACTTCTGCATGAGAAAAGTTCAAATAATGGCTTAAGAAATTCAAAGCAACTGCTTACCCAAGATGAAGAGCACCCAGGAGAGGCAGTGCACTGAAATCTCCCCACAGCTGCAGTTCCCAAGCTCAACTGAAAGACTGCTGCGAGCACTCTAGGTTAGGCTCAGAGCAAACCAAACACGTGCCTTCTGAAGTGGCTGCAGAGATGCAAACAGGAACCTCTAACTCTAGGTTCTCATTTCAGTCTCATTACCCAATTTTTATGTATATTTTCATTCTAAAAAGAGGTGACAAATTCAACCTACTGAAGTGAACCTCACACTCGGACTTCTTCAGATGCCATCTTCCCTTTTAGATGACAAGCCCTCTGAGGGTAGGAGCTTGAATGGCACCAGGCAAGTAGGTGCTGAGAAAGAAATCCGTTTCATGCAAACAAAACACAATAAATGTAATATTAACACAAAACATTCTGTCTTAAAGATATGCAACCTCTTTTATTTTTCCTCTCAAAACAGAGGTGCAACCTCGCCAGGCAATCACCCAATCACTGCTTCCAAAGATATGCCTGCCCAGTCCTCCAACTCGCTACGTAGACATGAGTTTCCTCTGGCCGTGTGATATCAGCATTTCCAGAATACAGGCAGCCATTGATTCCCATAGAGAACCTCTTGGGTGACTTGGACATCCTAGATTAGAACTCAAGGTTTCTTCACTTCAAGATACCTCTCAGTCTTAGTCACCACTTCAAAAATAGATGTTCTCAATGTATGCACCTTCAACCTCGGCTACATTGGCTTGACCTAGGCATGGGCAGACTCATCTTATGGAACTTGTCCTATATCATCTGAAAAGCTGTTGAACGTTTCCTCCCAAGCACTATGCTGCACAGTACTTTAGAAGTGATGTGCTAGAGAACCAGCAATCTCCACAGTATAAATATTCCCATCATGGGCTATTTCAAGCTACCAACAGTTTAACAACTGGCTTGCAAAATTCCTAAAAAATGTAATACAGGTTGAGTATCCCTTATCCAATATGCTTGGGACCAGAAGTGTTTCAGATTTCATATTTTTTTTCAGATTTTAGAATATTTGCCAAATACATACCAGTTGAACATCCCTAATCTGAAAATCCAAAATGCTCCAATAAGCATTTCTTTGGAGCATCATGTTGGCACTCAAAGTTTCAGATTTTGGAGTATTTCAGGTTTTGTATTTTCAGATTAGGGATACTCAGCCTGTAATTAGCTCTTGCTACGTGAGCTGGTTCCAGCATACCACAGAATCTCTGCAGGTTCTTGCGGGGCTACAGCTCAGACATGACTGGTTGCACAATGCTGAAAACCACTGTTAAATCAAGTTCAGCCTAAGCTGCCTCCTTACATATCTTAAGTTTGGTCTAAAGGTTTCTCTGTACATCATGAACTATAACCTAAATGGAATAGTATACAGACTGTAGTCTACTCTTACGCCAATCACTGAGTTTGGCCAATCAAAGATGACCAACGATTCAAACTGTTCAAATAAGGCAAACACTGAGCTGTAACCAATCCGGCTGTTTCTGTACCTCACTTCTGTTTTTAGTACATCACTTTCCTTTTGCTGTCCATAAATCTTCCACCACGTGGCTGCGCTGGAGTCTCTGGGCCTACTCTGGCTCACGAGACTGCCCGATTCGTGAATCATTCTGTGCTCAATTCAACTCTTTTAAATTTAATTCAGCTAAAGTTTCTCTTTTAACACCACAAACCCCCATCTTTTTCACATGACAATTCCTACCTTATATGTAGATATGCACATACCAAAAGGTAGCCAAAGGGTGCAAAGAAGTTTATTGACTATGATGCAGTAAAGACACCAAGAGTTACAATATCTGTGCATATGGCCCAACAGCGCCTACCCTCCTACAAAAACACAAAAACCAAAAAAGTCAATGACGTGCAGCAGTTAACAGCCCAACAATGGAGTCAAAGGAATGGAGCTGCCTCTTCTGGCAGCAAAGTTTCAAGTTGTGCAATTAAATAATAGTCTTGGTCCACTCCTTGTGGGTCTTCTTATGGTTTCCCTTTAGAACCATAACTGAGTGACTTAGTAGAACATTCATATTCAGGATATGGCCTCCAGAAGTGGTGTTTTGTTTTGTTTTGAACAAAGACGGGCTACCTTCTCTCTTGAAGCACCAGTGCTGGGTTCAGGAGCTACAGAGGACTAAGATGTTCCCCAAGTAGCCTGAAGTAACAGGTCACATGGAAAACACAAAGCAATTGGTAAGTTCACATTTTGTAATAGAATTAAGAGCCTAATGCATAAAACTTAAGGTCATGTAACCACAAGTAAAAACTTCAGCAGCTAAAGGAAAACTCTGGGAGGCTTTTAACCCCTTCTGAACTAAGTTCCCTTTCTAAACAAGGCTGGTTTCCATGGCTGTGACAAGAGCTCATGGGGTAGCAAAAAGAGAGAGAGAATAGCACCTTAGAAGTTACTCAAACAATAGGTGAAACAAACAAGTAAACAAACAAAAAAAAACACTTTATCTTCCTTTCATCCTTAAAGAAGGCAGGTGTCCGTACACTACTTCGTGATCCTTCACAGAATAAAAAGCTGTAACCCAAATCTCAACATAAGGGATGAAGAAGGAAAATGATAGCAGCTGATGACTGGGATGTGACCACAAACCCATGAAGTAAACTAAATTATCAATGTACTCCCCTTACCACGACGGACTCCATTCAGTCATTTAAAAAGGAAGGGACTAGTTCAAATCATGATTAAGGCTATAAAATAACATGACTGAGTATTCATAGAGCACCAATTACCTCAAGTTTAGACTAGGTGTCAATCTACAAACATAGCACCCTGCATTAATCTTCACAACACACCTGCAAGGACATTACAAGAAGGCCCAGCTAAAACCGGTTCCTCATTTAATGGGATGTGGCTTTCAGTGGGTTCCTGTAACATCATCTCTTTCGCGGAGAAATGAGGACCCACAAAATAGTCCCCCTCACAATTAGGTCTCTATCTTCAAATCTCTGAGAGCCCAAATTATTTACTGTCATTGCTCAAGTTGCTTTTCTCTCTCTGTTGAGGTGTCAGAAATGGTCACGTTAGATTGGCCTCAGATAACCACATAAGTTAACAAGCAGCCCCCCAAAGTACCGTGAGGTTTAACCAGTGGAAATGTAAACTGCCGTTCCTGTCTTTGCCTCTTCTACTTCCTCACATGACCAGAGTCAAATCACAATGTCCTTCAACTAACCAGATTCACTAATCTGTGGACTAGGTTAACAGAAGAGGCCACGCCAAATCTATGATACAGATCTAATAACCCAAATTTTTAAAATTAGGTCTTTGCAAAAAAAAAAAAAAAAGAAATTGAGAGAGAGAGAAAAATGATTTTTAAACTAACATATACAGTCTAAAGTGCTGTAATATGGAAACTTCCTAACCAACTAATGAAAAACCATGATAAGGGATCAACCTATTGAAAGAATAGAGACAGGTGAGGGGATAATTTTTGTCTCTCATAATTGAGAAGTAAATTCAATCGCTATTACAGAGGACTATTTATATATGCACTATCCATCTTTACTGATATGCTATACATATGCCTTAATGGCTTATAAAAAATCCTACATAAATTAACATTTGAAACAAGTTGTCATAGCAGAATGGAGTAACCTGTTGTAAGGCACTGAGAGAACAGAAAGGATAAGTATGTTATGCATAATCTCACTTCCTCATCTCAAATATTTTGTAAAAACCGCTTGCAAATACCATAGTTACTCATAGTTGGTGCATTTTAGAAATCAACAAAGTTTTGAAAGACAATACAAGTGAAAAGATGATTTAATTGCAAAGAACTCCTGAAATACTCCATAAGCCCCCACTAAAAACCTGTAAAGAGTTTTTCTTGCCTCGGACCTGAAAAGTCAAGAAGAAAAGTTGTAGTTATAAGAAAATAAAACAACAGGCCAGGCACAGTGGCTCATGCCTGTAATCCAAACACTTTGGGAGGCCGAGGCGGGTGGATCATGAGGTCAGGGGATTGACACCATCCTGGCCAAAATGGTGAAACCCTGTCTCTACTAAAAATACAAAAATTAGCTGGGTATGGTGGCGCATGCCTGTAATCCCAGCTACTTGGGAGGCTGAGGCATGAGAATCGCTTGAACCCAGGAGGCAGAGGTTGCAGTGAGCCAAGATCACACCACTGTACTCCAGCCTGGCGACAGAGTGAGCCTCTGCCTTAAAAAAAAAAAAAGAAAAGAAAAAGAAAAAAAATAACAAAGACTCCTTGGCCCAAATTGTACCAGCAAGACTAAATAAAATAATTTTTCTACTTCATGATTCCTTTCCTTAACTGTAAATTGATGACATTGTATTTAATACTTTAAAAACCCAGTCAAAGCAAACCAATGACTTGATCCTACCAAAACTCTAAGGAAACTAAGGCTATACACCCTAAATTATCCAAACACAACTGAGGTTGAGGTGATTCAACCAATGAGTATATGCCCTATACTAACTCCCAGCTGAAAGTGTACATGGAGCAAAGAACAAAGAACACCTATCCCAAGCAAACATTTTGTCTGGTGACACGTCAGGAAATCATAAGCTCCACTTCATTGAAAAAATCATTTTGGCATCAGCAGTGTGGCAAACATTCAGGATTCTCCTTCAAACAGTTGGAAGAAAACATGTAATACATTCCAGAGCCAAGACAAATCAAAAAGTATCTTTTTGCTCAGGAAAATAATTTCTTCATTCAATTACAGCATAATTTATTGAAAGTGGAGTCATGAGTCTCTTATGAGAGTTCCTGAACAGTTTATAAATACAAGACCATTTCTTCAATAAATAAGTGGTTCCTAAAGTCTTTACTGATGATCTCCAGGATTGTCCGTCACTATGGTCTAGGCCAGCTCCCCTTCTCTGACAGGCGGTAGCTGCCAGTGGAATGGGATGTTTCGTGTTATTAGGTGACTCTTCTCATGTCGTACAGACTTTTATCAATATGTCTCTTCATAGTCTGAATCCTGAAGGGAGAAAAACAGTAGGTGTGAAACACAATTCCAGAGTTGGAATTTAGGCAAAGACCACGTGTTAGGATCCTCCAGATGGAACCTGGCTTGGGGAGACGACCACAAGTGAAATGCCACTGACGCAATACACCTAAATTCCCCCATGGAGCTTCACAGGACCTCAACGTAATTGGTGTCTATTGGGCGAATTTCTGCTTTGAAGCCCTAGTGGTTTCCTTTCCCTTGAATATTTTTTAAAACCTCAACACACAAGAAAGGATGCCTGTCTACAGCACCGTTTCTTAGCAAAACAAGCGTTGGTGGAATCACCCCAGCGATCCTCTCCCCACTCTCTTGCAGAAATGTGCAAAATTGTGGTTAGGAATTTAGACTAGCTGTCAGTCTACCACTTAGTTCCACCTCTTGCTGGCTGGCTGTGTGACCTTGGATAAAGTTATTAACTTTTCTAAGCCTCAGTTTCCTCATCTGTAAAATGGGGACAATAAAAATACACCTCATAGAACTGTTATGAGAATTGAATGAGGCAATATATGTAAATTACTTAGCACTGCCTGGCACTTCGTAAGCACTCATTCAAGACTAGCTCCTGTTACCATTATTATTATTCATACTCATATTTATTACTTCTAACTTCAAGTGGGCCATTAGCACTATCTGGTATACCATATTTCTCTAGTCTATTCATTCTCCTTGATGACTATTTCATACCCTTCCCTCTTTCCCCAAACTTCTAACACCTCCTCTTCCCATCATTCTCAGCTGACAGCCTTGCTTTCTCCCATTACTGGGACTAGAGAAGCAATCAGTAGGGAATTTCCACAAGCTCTATCACATGTGGCCACTCATCTACATCTGGACCCATCTATTTGGCCTTCCCTATTGTTCTTATACACTCTCCCTGTCTTACTTTATGTAAGGTGAACATCTGCACTTACGCACTAGATCCTGACATTACCCCAGCAATCCTCTCCTCTCTCTCTTGCAGCATCAATTTTTCCTTCTCTACTACATAATTCCCATCTGTATACAAATGTGCTCAATTTCTCCCATCTTAAAAGGAAAAGCCACCAATGACCCTGCCCTCCACATATTGCCTGTCTCTCTGCATCCCTTCACAGCAAAACTCCTTGAAAGAGTTGTTTATAGCCACTGCCCCAATGCATCTTTCTGCAATCTTTCTTGACCCCACCCCAGACAGGTTTTCATTCCCAATATTCCACTGAAGCTCCTTTTGCCAAGGTCTCCAATGACTTCCATATTCCAAAATCATCCAATAATCAATTATCAGCTCTCATTTTACTTCACCTGACTCCACAGCAAACGATACAGTTGATCACTCTCTAGATCACTATTTCCTAAACTACTTCTTCACTTGATTCCCAGGATACCAAAATCTCCTGATTTTCTTCCTACCTCACTAGTCACTCTTTCTTAGCCTCTTTACTAACAAGTCCTCTTCATCTTCCCATACTAGAAATCTTGGAGGGCCCAGGCTCCTTCCTCTGACCCCTTCCCTATCTACATTCATTTCCCTGGAGGAAATGTCTCTATCAGTCTCTATCTGCTAATGGCTCCTAAATCTCTATCTTCAGTCTAGACCTCTCTTCTGAACTCCACACCCACAACTGCCCACTCCACATATCCACTTGGAAGTTTAGTAAGTATTTCAAACTTAATATGCCCAAACCCAACTTCTGATCTTCCTCCTAAAATCTGATTCACCCACAGACTTCCACATATTAGCAAATGGTAACTCTATTCTACCAGTTGCTCAAGTCAAGAATCTTGGAACTATCCTTGAGTCCTCTCATTTTTTCATATATAAATGCAAAAGCAGTAAATCCTTCTGGCTTTACCTTCAAACTATAATCAGAATACAACCACTCCTCACCACCTCCACCACCACCACCCTGGTTCAAACTACCAGCATCTTCAGCTACCTGGATTAATGCAAATGCCTCCTAATTGGACTCTCTGATTCTGTCATTGTTCATTACCACCCATTCTCAACACAAAAGCCAGAGTAATACTTTTAAAACAGACATCAGTTGATAGTGCTTCTCTTCCCAAACCCTCCAATGGATTCCATTTCATTGAGTAGAAGTCCAGGTCATTACAATCATCTACAAGGTTCTGTAAGATGTAGCTGCTGCGTTACTTCTCTGATGTCAACAAATACTATTCTTTGCCTTGCTGTCTTCATTCCTGCACTGCCCTTTTGTTACTCCAAGAACATGCCAGTCATGGCCCCTCCTCAGAGCCTTTGTACCCGTCATTTCTTCTGCCTGAAACGCTCCTCCACAGTAGCCATATGGCTTGCTTCTCTCAGGTGTTTGCTCGAATATCTTCTCACTGAGGTTGTCCCTAACCTATTTAATGTCACACTCCCTATCCAGCCATCCCATCCTCCTTTTCTGCTTTTTTTCTCCATATCATTAAGTACTATCTCATATACTATATATTTTACTTATTTTTAAAAACTCTGTGAGTATTTGTGCCCCAATTCAACAGAGTCTTAGAGGATGAGAAAGTTTTCCAGGCAAGGAACATTCAGTTCTCAGAGGGTAGGAATTTTTGTCAGTTTTGTTCACTGCTGGTTCCTAAGCACCTAGAACAGTACACATGGCATGTGACAGATGCTCAACAAATCACTGTTGAATGGATTAATATCTGAAATGTGGATAATAACCATATGAACATTAACTTATTTTGTGTTCTCAAAAATATCCGAGCCTCCAAAGGTTGGTATTAGGTCCTCTGCACTGGCAATACCAACCTTTCTCTCATCGTCCCTTTGATACTAAAGTGCATGAGACAAACAGAAACAAAAAACACTGCAATTAGTCATCAAGCCAAGTGTGAGCTTGGCAAAAAGTAAACAGGAGGCAATGACAGGTATGTATCATATGGGATCAGAAGTTCTTTATGACCTGTTTTCAACTGCACCACATCAGAGAGTCTTCCCTCCTGCTAGGATCCTAGGACACCCACCCCAGCCTCCTAACTGGGCTCTCTGATTCTGTCATTAGTCACAGCGAGTACTCAAAGCAGGAGGGATGACAGCCTTTTGACATTTAAATCAAAACTTGGGCCTTCCGGGGTGGTATTTCTTATTGATAAAAGACATCAAGTTACCTAAAAGGTTATATCTCCCTAACTCCCTGAAAAATACTACGGCTCGGTGGAAAAGTTAAATTCAGGATTGGGTCCAGCCAGTCGAAGTCTCCTAGTATGAATTCAGTGGCACGGGACACTCCTGTTTTGGGATTTTCTGTCAGTCAGTAGAAACTACTCTACGTGGCCCCCTTTCCTAACCTAAGACCACCAGTTTCTGCCCATGAGACAAGAAATAAATCATGGTTAGAATTGGTAGGGGTCCCCTGAGTCCAAAATGCTTTGGGGGAAGATGCTGACTTATATCTTGCTGGGACCTAACTTCATATCCTCTGCTATGTCTGAGGGCATAGGATGGATCCTGTTAGGTAAGCAGGAAAGTGGGACATCAGCAGTAAGCAGAAGGAATGGCATGCACTTACCAGGCACTCAGCGCAACGGATACAGAGCCTCACCATGCATGCATCTTCCTCCTCCTGATCAGTGCTGTAAAAAGAGGACAAACCACATCTGAATCACCACTATCCTCAATAGAGTAGAGCAGTTAAAAGTACAGGTGTTGAAGTGAGACAGGTCTGGTTTTAGATTCCAGCTCTTCCACTCACTAGCTGGGTGACTGGGCAAATTATTTAAGCCCCAGAAGCCTGTTTCCTCATCTATAAAATGCACATATTGGCCAGGCGCAGTGGTTCATGCCTGTAATCCCAGCACTTTGGGAGGATGAGGTGGGTGGATCACCTGAAGTCGGGAGCTCGAGACCAGCCTGGCCCACATGACGAAATCCCATCTCTACTAAAAATATAAAAATTAGCTGGGCATTGTGGCACACACCTGTAATTCCACTTACTCAGGAGGCTAAGGTGGGGAATCACTTGAACCCAGAAGGCGGAGGTTGCAGTGAGCCGAGATTATACCCCTGTACTCTAGCCTGGGTGATAGAGTGAGTGACACTCCCATCTCAAAAAACAAACAAACAAAAAAATGCACATGTCACCACCCACCCTTAAAGCATAGTTGTTAGGAGTAAATAAAAAAATAAATACATGTGAAACACATACCATAGTGCCTGGCACATAATAACTGCTCAATAAATAACCACTCATTCAGAAGTGTAGCAAGCACTGACAAAGTCTCAACATTGTGCTAGCCTAGAGGTAAAAAGATAAATAAAACTTGGGGCTGTAAAGAGCTCATGATAGGGGTGAAAGACCTGTTACAACTTAACAAATATGTTATAATGCAGTGTGATAGGGTTTTAATAGAGTTAAGGTCAAACTGCTGCAGCAGCAAAGAGCGAGGAGTGACTAACTGTTCCCTGAGGTCTCAGGGAAACTCAAGAGAAGGGGCTATTTCAGCTGGGTCTTGGAGGATAAGAAAGTTTCCAGGCAAACAAGAGAAGGAAGGAGGGCATTACCAGCAAGACAAAAGGCGGGGTCTTAGAGGATGAGAAAGAGTTAGGAAAAATATTTGACCTAAGTATAGTATGTTAGGGCAAATAAATAAGTTCATGGCAGCTGGGACGTTGGGAGATGTCAGGAAACAATGTGACTTAGAGTAAAATCATAAGGGGTTTTGGATACCATGCTTAGAAATAGACATTAGCATTTTTACCAAGAGTTCTTTGCCGTTTTAGAGCCACAGATTCCTTGGAAAGGGCACAGGATGCTCTCTTATTATTGAATAGATGCACACACACACACACAGAGAGAGAGAGAGAGAGAGAGAGAGAGAATTCTGGACCTTCTCAATGTAAGACTCCCCTCCCCTGACATAGATAATGGAGAACAGGAGTTTTATGTAGATTTTTGTTTTGATTTCCTTTTACTACATTTATTTTTAGGGAATATACTAGATCACGCCTGCTCACTGGCAGAATAATGTTTAATAAATCTGTTTGATAACCACAATCCATGTAGCCCCTCACTTCAGAACATATGCTGACCAAGAATAGATCTTGCTTATTCAAATTGCTGTTGTCCTCCACAGCTATTCTTAAAGCCTCTCTCATTGCATTTTCTATCAGGAGACATCATCAGCTCAGTGCCAAATACAAGGAGAAGGAAAAATAATTGACCTGGAATTGAAAGAATGAAACATCAACTTCAGAATTTATTCAGACCATGGCACTGTACAATCTGATTTCCAAAGCAGAAGACTAGGACCATATATCAACTCCCCCATCTCTCTCCAAATTAATATTCACACACTTCACTTTCAACCTTCCTTTTGGCAGCCCTTAGCAGAACTATTCTCTTTGAAAAGAAAGTTCACCAGCAGAACTAAACTCGGTCCAGAAGAAAGGAAGGTGTGGATGTAGGGGTCTGGGTAGGGTGCTAAGGAGGAAACAGGCTTGCTGCTCAGGGCTCCTGCTGGACTTACTCATCTGAAACCTCAATAGATGACTTCTTATAGCCAGACCTGCTCCTCTTCTTCAGCCCAGCAGCCTTCCTCCCCATTCTCACCAGCAGCAGAGCAACCACCATGGCTGAGGGCACAAAGACAAGGATGGAAAGAAGGGCCACAGAGGAAAGCATGGTGCCAAAACCTAGAGGTGGAGAAAGAGAAGGTAAAAGACAGGGACGTGCAAATATGCCTCCTGTGACATGAGAAACTAGGTTCTACTTTTGCTCTTATATTTGTTCTGATTACAAAAGTAATAAATCATTGTGTAAAAGGTAGAAAATACACAAAAGTACAATGAAGAATAAAAATGTACCCACGATCCCACTCCTAGGAAGAAGACTTTAGTATCTACCCATTTAATCTTCTTCTGGGGTACTGGGTATGGGGTGCATGGGGGGCATATATATTTTTAAGTATGGATCATATATTACGTATTATTTTTAACCTCCTTTTTAACTTATTATATGATAAATAATTAACAATTCCTTCCAGATGTGATGTGTAACGGCTGCATAGCATTCTATCATATTGAATAATTTATAGAACTAATCCTCTAATGCTGAACATTCAAGTTGTTTCGAATTCTTAGAATCTATAAGTCACATTCGGATGGCCAGACTTGTACATAAAACTTCATCTTTAGCTCTAATTCCTTAAGACGAAATTTACAATGGAATTACTACATCAAAGGGCCTAAACTTTTAAGGCAGCTGATTCATACTACCAAACTGCCTTCCAGCAAAACTGTATCATTTTCTTCTTCTGCCAGGAGTATGAATGTGCTCACCTTTGAAACCTACAAGTTATTACCTTTAAAAGAAAAGAAGTAAGAAAGAGCGAGAGAGAGAAAGCAAGAAAGGGAAAGAGAAGGAAGAAATGAGAGAGGGAGAGAGGAAGGGAAGGAGAAAAGAAGGGAAGTTGGGAAGGAGAGAAACTTGAAAAAGACTTGAGAAATGATGACGAATCTATAATGACCCATAATGTGCCTCTAAATCTTTGGCTCAAATCCAATCAAGGACTAGAACGACCACTTAATCGTCATCAGGGAATAACGTAGAAAAAAAAATCAGTACTTAATCTACTCTCCTCCTGTTTCACGGCAAAGGGAAACTACTGTTCTTTGCAACGTAAAAGAAAAGCACTACCTCTCATGGTTTTGGGGGTACCCTTTCAAGACACAGGCAAGAACATTATCTCATACCTGGGAGTATGAACATGCTAGGAAAACTGGAATACTTCCATTTCACAGAGATAACAACCCTGTATTTACTCAGGGGTTTTCTATGCATTCCACAAGAACTTTGGTTTTAAAATTTTAAAAAAGGGTAATGGAGAAACTATGACAACATCTGAAGAGGAAATTCAGTTTTCAAAATAAAGATTAAAAATTCACCCCAACATACATATTGGGATGGCAGAAAAATTACTTTGACTCAATGATTTAATGACCCAACTGGCTTACAAAGATAGACAGCTTTGTTTATCATCGAGCTCTCCAGAAAGCACCACCGCAGTCACAGAGCACTGCAGAAGAAGGTTGGTGGCAATGAGCTTACCCCTTTCTGTGACTGTTAGCTCTGTCATGGGAATATTATGGTGCACATCTGGGGGATTCTTCACAGCACAGCTGAATGTCCCATTGTCCTTTATGGTAGGGTTGCTTATACTTATAGATGCATCCCCTTTGTATACATTTCCAACCCAGGAAATCCGATCCCGAAATGTGCCTGCTGTGGTTGGGTACTGGAAAGACTGATAATGAAATATCTAAGAAAGCAACACCACGAGAGAAAAAGTTAACTTGGAAAATGCAATGAAAATATAAACCTCAGTAGGTCCAAAATAAAATACAACTGTATAATGGTGTGGGTTTTTTTTTTTTTTTTTTTTTCAGTTGGGCAACTTTTTATGCTTTTTTAACCTCCATCCTATAGGTTAATAAAACTGATCAGAAAAAGGCCCGATGAGACACTTCTGGGATCCTAATCCTTGAATCGCTTGTAAATTTTCCCTGGAACCCTAAAGTAATAGTTCTCAACCAGGGGCAATTTCACCCTCCAAGAGATATTGGCAATATCTGAAGACATTTTCAATTGTCACAACTGGGGAGATGCTACTGGCATCTAGTGAGTAGAAGCCAGGGATGCTAGTAAACATCCTACAATGCACAGGACAGCACCCACAATAAAGAATTATCTGGCTCAAAATGTCAACAGTGCCAAAGTTGGGAAACTTTGTTCTAAAGTAGCATCTCATGTTTGAATAGCTCTCTACAGTTTGCCAATAATTTCCACACATTTACTCACTTGAGCCTCACAACTACACTGAACTACATGAGGCAGGTATAATTATCCCAAACATATAAAAAGGGAAACAGGCTGGGCATGGTGGCTCACGCCTGTAATTCCAGCACTTTGGGAGGCCGAGGTGAGCGCATCACTTGAGCTCAGGAGTTCAGGACCAGCCTGGCCAACATGGTGAAACCCCATCTCTACTAAAAATACAAAAATTAGCCGAGTGTGGTGGCATACACCTGTAAACCCAGCTGCTTGGGAGGCTGAGACACGAAAACTGCTTGAACGCAGGAGGCAGAGATTGCAGTGAGCCAAGATTGTGCCACTGCACTCCAGCCTGGGCGATGGAGCTAGACTCCGCCTCAAAAAAAAAAAAAAAAAAGGAAAGAAAGAAAGAAAACAAAGCCAAACAAAAGACTAAGTGAGTTGCTCTAAGGTATACAACTAGTAAGTGACAAAAGGGAGATTTTTGCTTGTTCTCAAAGGAGGAGAGTGTCATATAATTCAGCCTCTCTCAAGTTATCTACCTTGACAATATATTCCCTAAGTCTAATACGTGATAAGTACTCAATGAATATATGTTGAATTAAAACAATGCTGCCTAGGACTTGATCAGACATTTCATCGCCAAAAGTCTAATTATCAGACACTTATCAAAAGCCTTGATTAGACACTTCATCACCAAAAGCCTAATTATACCTGGGGCAGGCCAGGCAGGTATTACAATACAATATGACTTATGCAATATGGCTTATGCAAAATACAGGCTTTCCTCTTTCTTTGTTACTTGGTACCTTCCCATTTAGGAACCTGGGTGTTTACAACCACTGAATTGCCCAATTTTGAAAAGCAACTTCCCAGAAAAGATGCTGACTCACTTATTTGTTCATTTGTTCATGCATTTATTCAACAAATATTTGGTGCAGATTTCTAATGTGCTAGGCATTGTTAAGCAAAAGGATACGGTGGGAGCCACACAGGCATAGTTCCTACTCTCATGGAACTTACATTTAGTGATAAAGACAGATAATGAGAAATAATAAGTGTATTGAACATTTCAAAGGGGGAGGTAAAGAATCCCTACCACTAATTATCAGCATCAGTGTAAAAGAATTTGGAACTCCTTATTGACAAAACACGGCCCACGGTATATCCTCGAGATTAGTCTAGCTCGTAAATTCAATGTTAAGTTCATGAAACTCATATCCTTGCTTATTGATTAATCTGACACAATCTTGACTGACTAATTCCATGACTGCAACATCATGTTATGTAACTTTAATTCCAACTTGTATGAGTTTGCTGATTTTCTGACCAGTCTCGCAGAGGGCAGCACTAGAAGAGAGCTGCTGTTTCTCACCCAGGAAGCTTCTCATTGCTTGCTCTGTCCTACTTTTGACCAAGGAGGCAGAGCCAAATAAGGCCAGCCACAGTTTCCTGATCACTCGGAATCAAGTGAACTATTTCAAGTCTGAAAAAAAAGTGGGAGGGGAGCATGAATACAGCCTAGCTTCTTTCACTGGAGTCACCTACCTAGCCTCAAGCTATGTGGCATTCTACAATGGCTCCTAACACAGAATGCAAAGCTTATTTACACAAAATCAAAGAGGACATTTTTCCAGTGAAGGAAACAGGATAAATAAATTAACAATACTTAAAAAAATACAATCTTCATACAGCTATGACATTCACATTCTTGAATAACATCTATCCTGAGCTAAGGATACTGCTGGAAGTTTAAAGAGAAAAAAATTTTATAGCATTTTAATCTTCAATTAGACACCTACAATGCAACTTGGACCATAAATGTGTTTTATATGTTTGACGAAGGTTTATTGCTTCCAATATTGCAAGACCATCTGTCACCAACATCTGTCACCAACACGAGGTGCCACCATTTCCTTCAAAGGCAGCCATATAAATCAATGCAGATGTTTATACACTGGAAAAAAAGTGTCAAGATAAATCCACAAAGCACAAATATGCAAAGAGATACACCCACGGAGACAACTTAATACGACAGAAAATGAGCAGCCTTAAGAGAAAAGACGTCTGTGACTGGACCTATAGAATTTTTCTATTCAATTGTCCTGAAGGTACCCTTCTTAGTACATTAAATCTGAAAATGAAGCTATGAAATAATGCAAAAAGAAACAACAAAGAGGAAAAAAAATTAAACCACATTTCCTCTGAGTTTCTGACAGTTTTTTTTCCTGCAGCTTATTGACAGAATTCTTACACGGCGCCCTATGTGACCAAATGAATGTCATATAGGATAAAAGTTCATCTATCTCTATTAAAGTAGAAGCCCATCTTCTACTCTGAGATGAGATGGCCTCAGGCATGCCTGTGATTTGCAGTAAAACAATTCCAAAACCGTTGACCAAAGGAACGTTCCAAAAAAGTACACACTTACTGACACTGTGCGGCTGCTGCTGGGAGGGCGATATGTCCAGTCTATGGTAAGCTTGTCAGTGACATCTGAAGTTGACTTGAAAGTGCATTTCAACTTGATCTTTTCTCCAACATAACCTCGGACATGGGCATCTGCGTGAATCTCCAAGGAAAGGACGATATAAACACCTAATCAAAGCAAACCCAAACACTTAAAATGCATTCATGTGGGTGGAATATACGGATGTGAATGAACAATTATTTTTAGAGCCCTCATCAAAAAGCCAGGGCAATAAATATGAATAAATATCTTCTCAGGCAAGCCTACAAGGGACAAGGAGTTGATAGCTGCATTAATCAAAGATGGTATTTTTCAATCATTTTCTAATCTTAAATCATAACTGAAGGCTTGTGTAAAAATTTAAAATCTGGTCACACCAGCATTTTCCCAGATACAGGCTTGTGGTTCAATTAACTACAAACAATGGGTCTGCCCATGGCTGGCTAACAGGCAACATCGCCCATCCCCTTCCATCTCCCGCAGACACACACACAGACACACACTCACACACACTCACACACACACACACACACTCTGGGAATATGGCAGTTTTTATGGTCTAAGGGACTTACTCCAAGTATAGCATGGTTGCATCATGAAGCTACCATTGCCTCATCAACAGCAAAATAAGAATAGGAAGTAAGAATGGGAAGATTTATTTCGAATAATTTTCTGAAACTGCCCCCAAGGTACTATCTAGTTTTTCCCTTTTTCTTAAAGCTGGCTGAGGAATCACACATCTATTAAAAGTAAATCATGGGGAAGAAAACAGAATAGGTGAATGCATTCTAGCAAGTAAAAATAAGGTATCATTTTGAAACCCACTAGAGACTTATTTTTTCCAAAACCACTCATGTACCCAAATCTGACACTTTATCTCCCTGAAAAGGGCTGGCACTTTATTCTAACCAGTTCCTTCTGCTTTCAGAGAACAAAAACTTATCTTTCCCTACAGAGCCATATTTGAGGAAATTACATTGCCAGTACTTTGTTCTTCCTGCTTCCTTATCTACCTCAAGAAGCCATGAATCTTCTGGTGGCCAAGACAAACAGAGCAGCAAGATTTCAGAAAAGTGCAAACCCACACGCTGTCCTGAAAATCAGCAGTGCTTCCAGTACAGACAGAATGGTGTAGTGATTGAGCACACAGGTCACGGCTCCTATGCCAGAGGGTCTGGGTTCAAATCCCGGCCCTGTTACCTGCTGGGTCTGCAGCCTTAGCAAGTTACTGTACTGCTTCAGTCTCCTCACCCTCATGGGAATGGTGATAATAGTACTTACCTCAGAAGGCCACTGGGAGGATTAAAAGAGTTAAAACACATACCACACTAAGAAGTCTACTCAAACCAGAGTAAGTGCTCAGTGCGTGTTAGACAGTGTCACTGTCATTATTGCCACCTCTTCAGTCCTGCCCACACACTCTCAACCTTTCCTGTCACAGTTATGAGTCATCAGTTCCACTGCCTTTACCTCTGCCAGCTTTGAGTCATTTTTCTTGCTCCTCTCTAGACAATCCAGTCTGTTGACATTCCTTTTGAAAGGAGGAGACCAAAACTGAACCCACTAATAAGAACTCGTAAGAATAGGACCCATCCCAAAGACGAAGATTACTCCTGGTCTGCCTATGGCACCCTTTCTGACTTTGCCACGCTAAACCTGTCCTGCCTTCTGTGCCTTTGCAAACGCTGTCCCTCTGCTGGAAAGCTTTTATCCCTCAGTCCCCACTCTCTTAGGCCTGCAATCCTGACCCATCACTGTAAGAAAATCCTTATTCATCACTCAAGATCTAACTCTAAAAACTGGGAGGTGGAAATGAATGGACAATCTACACTCTCCCCATGTCTATTCCTTTATCCGAAAACATAACTATAGTATAGAGATTTAAAATACAGATTTAGAATTAGCCAGACCTGTACTTGAGTTCTAGCTCAGCTACTTTCTGGTTGTGAGACCTTGATCTCAGTTACCTAACCAGTTCAAGCTTCAATGTCTTCACTTGGTAAATGGGAATAATAACAAGATCTACTTCACTGTATCACTCTGAAAAGTGACTACAATCAAAAAAGGTAACTTTTTATTATGATCATGTTGTTCATTTCACAACATGAAATGCTTGGCACAGCATCTGTAATAAAAACTTTAATAAATGTTAGCTATTATTATTAAAATGAACACCACACATATTCAAAAACTTTCAATAATTTCCTATTGGGCTACAAAATAAAATTCAAAGAGTGGCAATCTAGCCCCACACTTCTGTCACTGCATCCCATCTACTTTCCCAATCCCTTCATCATTACTTGAATGTCCTGCCATTTCCCACATGTACTGTGTCCTTTCATGCCACTGAGCCTCTCTTTGAACAGCTCTCTGTCTGAAAGGCTCTCCCCACCTCTAACAATCCTGCCTGGGTTGTTCCCCAACACACCACATCCCCAACATTCACACACCTTCAAATTCCAGGTCAAATATCGGCGCCCTTTGCGGTGCCTTCCCAAATTCCCTCATGCGGTTCATCGCCCTTTCTCCTCCTAGCACTAGGTACATAATCCCACACAGGCACAGATGCCATCGATTGCACCTAGTTACAAAGGCTATTCCTCTATTAAATGTTAGCACCTTCAGGGCAAAAATTCAGAGGGAGGGGAGCAGGCAGAGAGACACTGAGAGAAACAGGCGGACAGGTCACCAGAAATTCTAGTATAGGAACAAAGCATGCTTGTGAATCACCCACTTTATTCCTATCACCTTTTTTAAAGTACATTCAATACTCTTAACTCCCCTACACTCCTATCTTTCCATTGCATCCTTTCAGGAAAAGCTCAGCTCTAGATGACCACAACTAGACTGGGCTAGTATACCCTGAACAAGAAAAATCACACAACTGGACAATTACCATAAGAAATGTGTTAATATCACCCACAGCTGAGTCCAGTCCTCGATGAGGCCTGGCAAACCTTTAACTGACCTTGGTTAGCTTCCCATTCCATGATTCTTCAAGCCCTTGTCATTCTTCCTCAGTCCTCCATGCAACCTCCAAACCCCTCATTCTCAGAAGAAAATGTTACCTCTTACATCGTCATGAAACTTGAGGCCATATAAACGGCCCAGGCACACACATTCCTGCAACTGCTCCCATCCTTACTTCCAACTGAAAGGATGTCCCTTTTCCTATGCAAGGCCAGGTCCTCTGCTCTGCCTGGATTCATCCCCTCTATTCCCTGCTTTAGCAGAAAAACCCTCTTTAGGCCGGGCATAGTGGTTCACACCTATAATCCCAGCCCTTTGGGAGGCCGAGGCAGGCGGATCACATGAGGCTAGGAGTTCAAGAGCAGCCTGGGCAACATGGCGACACCCTGTCTCTACTAAAAATACAAAAGAAATTAGCCATAGGGCATGGTGGCACATGCCTGTAGTCCCAGCTACTCAGGAAGCTGAGGCAGGAGAATCGCTTGAAACTGGGAGGCAGAGATTGCAGTGAGCTGAGATCACGCCACTGCACTCCAGCCTGGGTGACTGAGCAAGACTGTCTCAAAAAAAAAAAAAAGAAAAAAAGAAAAAACCATTTCTACTGCCTTCAACTCCTCCCCTTCAGCCTCTAAATACACAGGTTTCTCCAATCCTTAAAAACAAATAGCAATTTTTAAAAATCTTTCCTTAACACTGTAATATTACTCTAGTTACCAACTACTGCCCTTTCTCTCCTTTCTAAGCCAAGTTTGTGAAAGAGTGGTCTATACTTGAGGTCTGCATTTCCTCCTTCCCATTCACTTATAGACCTTATGGTACAACTGAACTCCACTATCACTTGTGGTAAAAGGCATCATATATCTTAAAATTGTAAAATCCAAGGGATAAAAACTTCAGTAGACACTTTTCTATCCTTATTTTACTGGATCCTCTACCAGTGACTAATGAACTTCTCTATCCCAAAGCTTGCATGACAATTATCTCCTTCATTCACTCATTCTTCAAACATACATTTATTGAGCATCTGTTTTGTGCCACCCTCTGGGTTTGGAATTAAATGCAAGCAAAATAAATACACTCCCTTGTATACTTGAAACACAGTAGAAGTTTGATATATTAATTAACTAATCATGAAGACAAATGCATAATTACAAACTCAGATAACTACTATAAAGGAAGGAAAAAGAAAGTGGCTACAGGTACGGCCCCTGTTATGTTGGGGGAGAGGAGAGTGGTTAATGAAAGCTTCCCTGAAAGTTACTCTTGAGCTAAGATCTGAAGGAAGAGGTAACAAGGTGAGGAGAGGGAGGGCATTCCAGGCAGAGGACACAGCACATACAAAGGTCCTGCACCAGGAAGGAGCTTAGTCAGTCAAGGGGCTGAAAAGGAGTGTGACTGCAACACAAAAAATATGAAAGGGAGAGAAAATAGAATGAGATGTGGTTGGGAGGTAAACAAAAACCAGACCAGGCAGGACCTTAGAGATTTGGGTCCTTATCCTTAGAGTAATAGGAAGCCATGGAAAGTACTTAACTGTGGGACTGAACAAGAAGAGACCTGATGAAATTTGCATTCTTAAAAGATCACTTTAGAGAAGACACTTACAAGGAATCAAGAGTGAATATGGGGAAATTCAGCATGTTGGGAGGCCCAGGTGGGTGGATCACCTGAGGTCAAGAGTTCGAGACCAGCCCGGCCAACATGGTGAAACCCCGTCTCTACTAAAAATGCAAAAATTAGCTAGGCATGGTGGTGGGAGGCGGAGGTTGCAGTGAGCCGAGATCGCACCACTGCACTCCAGCCTGGGTGATAGAGCGAGACTTCGTCTCTTAAAGAAAAAAAATATATGAATGAGTGAATATGGGGAAATTACTGAGGAGGTTACTATGGTAGTCAAGTAAGAAAGAAGGGAAGTTTGAACTAAGTATGGCTGTGGAATATTAGGGAAAGGGAGATATCAAGGATGACTCCCAGGTTTCTGACTTCCTGATGCCATTCACTGAGAAGGGAAGACTAGAAAAGTACTAGGCTTGGCAGGGGAACAGGAGTTTGATTCTGGATGCATTTAAGGTGCCTCTGAGATACCCAAGGGATAATGTCAAGGGAGTGGTTGGTTTAGGGCAAAGGTCAGCAAATTATGGCCCATGAGCTAAATGGA